GTTGGTGGCGCTGTTTTCTAAAGCTATGGAACCTTCAGGACGTAAACTCTATTATGGCACAAGTCAAAGAATGAAGGTATTAGATATCAGTGGTAACACTGCCAAAAGAAACAGACAAAAGACAAAAAAAAAATACCATATAGTCTGAATATTATTGATTTTCCTGTGACTGGAACCAAATTACTTGGAAACAAACAATGTAAGTTAGGAAAGGTTTGTTTTGATTAGTGTTTCAGTCCACCATGGCAAGGAAGACATAGCCAAAAAGCTCCATCACCATCCAGAGCAGAGGGCAGAACTGCTCTGATTGGGGCAGAAAGGAAGCAGAGAACAGCAACAGAATAGGAACTGGGTTTTTACCTTCAAAGGCTATCCTAGAGGCCAACTCTGCCAGCTAGGTACCACAGTGAAGGGCTCAATAGTCTCCTAAATTGGCACCATCACCAGGTAACAGGTATTAAAGCCATGAACCAGTGGGTGGTGTTCATTTCAGACTTAACATTCTATGCTAGGCCTTCCAGAGGCTCATGGCCATCCTATAATGAAAAAGGCATTTAGTCCAGTCTGAACTATTGCCGTAGACTAACAAACAATGACAAGATCACTTAGAAATCTTCTGAGATGCAGGTCAGACGTCTAACAGCGAGCACCTATAGAACCAAAGAGCAAGTTACAGCCTTTCACATAAAATGGCAAGGAATCAACATTGCTGTTGCTGAAGAAGGGAGGGAAACAAGTCCAAAATTCAACAGGCCAAACACAGAATCCTGCAGCTGTGGTGGTATTCTAATTGTACTGAAATGTGATTTTGATTGTATGTTAATAAATAAAGTTGCCCGGGGGTCAGAGCTATTAGAGCCATAGACAGAGTGTGGCGGTGGTGGCACACGCCTTTAATCCCATAGATCTCTGTGTGTTCAGGGATACAGCCAGCATTGGAGACATATGCCTTTAAGACCTAGGGGGCTGTACATTCAGACAGTGACAAGGCAGTCACGTGTTTGGGTTTACAACCAATGAGAAGGCAGAATGACTGGAAAATTGACTTACAGACAGAAAGTAGCTCTCTTTCGGGAAGCTGGGACACCGCAGGCGGAAGGGTGAGATTTTAGCTCTGAGCTCTGACCTCTCGGCTTTCTCCTTTACATTGTTTCTGTGTTTCTTATTTAATAAGACGGTTAGTTACATCAACATGCAGCCACATGTCCCACATTCTAGCAAATAGTGCCATCACCTGAGTGAACCCCAACAAGCCGAACAGTCAAGCCCAAGTGCCTTGTTACTTCCAACACACTTGACTTCTCTGTCAGAATATACACCATCTACTAAGAATGTATACTATCCACTCAAAATATGCACAACCTACTCAGAATATATGCCACTTATTCAGAACGCACGCCTTCTATTCAGAATGTGCACCATCCACTCTGAATATGCAGCACCAACTAAGAACATGCACCAGCCACTCAGAATATCATCCATTCATCACAGCATACACCGTATATCTTTTATTTCCCTGGCTAGAGAGAAGTCATGTTCTCTTGCTGTGTCTAGAATGGAAATGAAGCTAAATCGTTTTCTACCAGAGTGCTAGACTTTTGATCTAGAAGCCAATGAGAGGCAGGGCATTTTTCATGCAGACAGTTGCCATAACCAATGGAAGACTTGACTATGGAAACTCAGCATTTTCATATAATTGTTGCCCATTAACACTGACAAACTATTGTCTAACTGCAAATATTCTGCTTCCTTGTTTCAGGATTTGCCCTCAAATAAAGTCAAGCATTTTCATTGCATCTGTTTCATTATGATGTTAAAAATATGTTCCTAACAGTGTTCATTGTCCCTCTCTGCATTTCTCTCTGTAGTTTTCACTGTACAAATGCCACCCTCTTTGTAAAAATTGTTCTGCCTAAAGCTAAAATCCCATCTAAAACACAGAACTCATTGACCAATGGGATTGTATATCACGCTATGGTTTTAAAGATGTTCTTCTGGTGTTTTTATATAGCATTTCTTTCTTTCTTTCTTTTTTCACAATGTGTATATAATGATGCTTGCATCAAATTCACTATTTAGGTCAGGTGGACCCCCAGATGTTCAACGCCGAGCATGTCAAGTGCCAAGGTGCTTCCCCCTCCCTCCAAAAGACAGTTTTATTTAGTCTTGAGTTTCCTGACTTGCACTCTTACATTGCAGTTATTTTGTGTTTTATCTAAATTTATAAGAGAAAAAAAGAAACTGTGCATTAGCCGGGGTTTATTTTATGTTTTTAAAAGTTAAAATTGGTTTACTTCTTGTGTAACTGTATGACATCATTTTTCAGGGGATCCGAGACCAAAAAGTACATCCAAGGAACAAACTGAACTTGAAAATCAGCTGCGTATTTCAATCACATCTTCAAAAAAATATGTACATAAAGGTAAAAAAAAAAAAGACATACATGCAATTAAATTCTAGTCTATTCCCACTGTTTCTATTCACCAGAATTCTCAGTCCTGTGGCCCCATCCAACAAAGAACCATACAAGCCCAACATATGGTCCCCATGCTTTTTTGTATATAGACACAAGCATGCGTGGCTTGGTGGTTTTGTACAGTCATAGAACCCTGGGAATAGACAGTCCTTACCTCTACACCAGGTTGAACTGATGGATTTCCATCTTTCTGCCTGATGATCTAAAATGTCAGTATGTCATTGTGTATCCCATGGTTCATTTTTTAATGATGTTTATTTATTAGGGCTGTAATCACTATCATTTCATACATTTTTCCTATGCTTGCTTGTGTTGATGTTTCTGTAAACTTGAGTGAGTAGAGCTGGGGGCATGGCGTGGCTCATAGGGTAGTGTTTGCAGCACAGCATGAGGACCTGATTTCAGATCTCCCTAACCCACACAAAGCAGGTAGTAGTGGCACACATCTGCAACCCCAGAGCAAGTACAGACCCTGGAGTCTCCTTTGTCAGGTAATCTGCCAAATGGTGAGCTCCAGGTTCAATGAGAGACTCTACCTCAACAGATAAGGAGGAACGTGATAAAGGAAGACACTCAACACTGACCTATGTCGTCCATAAGAGCACACTCAGGGATACACACTAGCATGCAGACACATGTGCATGTACACACATACACACACCACAGAAGCACACACACACACACACACACACACACACACAAAGTAAAATAAATAAAATTAAGTATAATGGTATTGTTGGATTAAGTGTTTACATGGTTTTAATTAAAACAGATATTGATTAATACTTTGAAAATACTTATAGATCATTAATAGTTTTGCCAGGAAATCCAGGAAAAATACATCACCTCATATGTTAGTTGGCACTAGACATTTTATGGATTAAAAATATTAACATTATAAAATTATGTTATTTTGATGTTGATACAACAAAACATTATCTAAAGACTGAAAACTTCTTAGAATTCCAAAAATATTTTACAGAAATAGAAAGGGCCATCTTTAAATTTATATGTGATCTTCAGAGACCATAATATTCTAAATCTAAAAAAAAGAACACAATAGGAGGAGTCAATTTACAATTCCCACGTATTCTTCCAGGCTACAGTAATGGAGACACTATGGTTCACACAAATGAGACCCAAGCCAGTGAAATAACCAGAGATCCCAAAATTAAGCTCTCACCTACATGGTCAAGGGTATCGAGGCTTCTCAGTGGAGGAACTGGGGAAGGGCATCAGCACAGACATTACTCCTGAGGAGGTATTCAAATAGTAAGCGGACCCTAGAGAAGATGGTAGGCACCACTGACCTTTGGCGCTAACTCCGTGGAGAGGGTCAGTGGTAGAACCCCGCACACCCATTAATCAGCTGTTATCAGGAAGGGAAGGAAGAACAGAAGTGAGAGAATGTGAAAAGATCAGCCTAGGAGCACAGGCCTGCAGTTCCAGCTGCTTCGGAGACTGAGTGAGACAAGGATGGCTTGTTCAGGGTCAGCTAGGACAATTGAGTGAAACACTGTCCCAAGAGAAAGACAAATAAAATAAAATGTGTGATGGCCATGGCTGTAGCTCGGTAGTATCACACTTGCTTACCATACATGATGCCCTAGGTTGAAGAAAAAGAAAAGGGAAATAGAACAAGTATTGGCTGAGACGTCTAAAATTGGGACCAGGATCACATGGTGTCACCTAAGCTGCAGCAGGCTTGAACGGCCAGCCTCCCCTCTACAGTCCTGACATTTGCATCGGGGTGGTCCCTCATTCTCAGTGACCCTTTTCTACATTTTGACCCTTTGATTAGAGAGAAAGGACAGTGGTCTCCTGTGTGTATTGGATGGAAACAATGTGAGGATAAGTGGTTTTCTACCAGAGCATCCAACTTTGGATCTGAGGGAGAGCAGCAGGTGCACATTGTTCACACAGACACTCGCTTTAGTGAGTGGAAGAACAGAATGTTTCATTTTATGCAAGAAATATATTGTTGATATAAAAACACTCCTGCTGGCCAGATTCTGCTTTTTAATTCCAGCATTTGTTTTCAAGTAGGCAAACATTGAAACTATTTTCATTATTATATTTTGGATTTTCTTTTGTTTGGGGGTTTTAATTTGGGGGAAGAGGTTTGAAAACAGTCTTGTATAGATCAAGCAGGCCTCCAATTCCTTATGTAGCTGACAATGACCTTAAACTTCTGACCTCTCTGCATCCACCTCCTAAGTGCTGAGAATATAAACTATGTACCGTCATGCCTGGTATTCATTGTGCTGGGGACTGAACTCAGGGATTTATGGGTAGTAGGCAAGTATTCCACCAACTGAACAATGTCTTCAGCCCTCCAATTTTATTATTTATTATTTGAGACAAGATCATGCTATGTACAGCAAGGCTGGCATCAAATTCACTATTTGGGCCAACCTGGTCCCCAAGTCTCCAGTTACCTGCATCATCCTCCCATGTGGCAGAAGTAGGAGTAGGCATGTGCCAACACACCCAACTCTCTGCTCCAGTTTTCCTGATGTATGCAGACGTACACTTTTGTAACCACCAGGCAAGGCAAAGTCATCTATACGTGCTGCTTAGGCAGCCTCCTCAAAAATCACTGTGTTCAGAAGAGGCACAAAACTGGTCTTAACTTTCAAAGGATGAAGTTAGTTTATTTTTAGTAAAATGTAATGACATTTTTCTCATTTTTCAGGGCAATCTAAACATCGAAAGTTAAAGAAAAAAGGTGCTGAGTCTCAAAGTAGCATACGTCCTTCGGCGTCTTCTATCAAAAAGCAGAAACTTAAAGGTAAAGGAGTCACTTTAACCCAGGTGTGTAACCCAGGTGTGTGACATGGGTGTGCAACCCTGCAACCCAGGTATGTGACACACGTGTGTAACATACAGGTGTATAACATACAGGTATGTGGCACGGGTGTGTAATGTAGAGGTGTGTAACATAGAGGTGTGTAATGTGTGGGTGTGTAATGTACAGATGTATAACGTACGGATGTGTTAATGTGCCACTACATTCCATTCTCCTTGCTCCCATTTACCAGTGTCCCCAGCCTGTGGCCCCTCAAACAGATAGCCCGTGTTAGGAGCCCATTTTCCTACAAGCAGTTAACTGTGTGGAGGGCTTTGTAGTACTCTACAGAAACAGCACCTATACAGAGATTCTCCTCATCTTTAATCTAAGCAAACCGGCAGATTTCCTTCAAACTTTCAGTATGATGCTCTGAATAAGAATGTGTCAGGAAGCAAT